CCTTCCTTACTTAGATGATTTCAATACTTCCATAAAGTAACTAAGAATCACATCCATTCATTGCGGGAATACACGAACATCAATTGTTCATAACGATTTCATTGCAAGGATATAAATAAATAATTCAAACCAAAAATTTATTTCATTTATAAAAACAGCGGAAAACATGTCCTTACAATGCAAAATCAACTGAATAACTATGTAGTCAAATATTCCTAACAAATCTATCCTAACTTCCTAAGCTCAAAATCTGATCTTCGAATCCATGCGATTGTAATCCGTTTCTTTGCGATCAGACTCATTTTGCTCTTCCATCAAGCTTCCTCTATTTTCCCTGATCCTGTAAAAACATTCAAATGTAATCTTATCACACATTGTATTAAGAATCAATGAATAGGAACTTAACAAAGTTAGATAGTGGATTTTTACCTGAAGTAGAGCCATACTCCTTGACTCTCCCATCTTTTGGACTTTTCAGGCGCTTAGGGCAGATTTCTATCCAACGCCCTTTCTCTTGACAACAGAAACAGGTAGGTTCTTCTGGAACGTCCTCAGAAGCATGGTTGGTTGATTCACCAAACAAATACGCTCCATTGCTTTGCCAAATCATTTCTGATTCAGCAGCGATGAGCATGTAAGTTAGGTCAATGAGGTTTGCGTCACGATCCATCATATAATACTCTCTTTTGAACTTATTATATGATTCAGGAAGTGACTGTAGAACCCAGTCCACAACAAACTTATTTGGGAAAGACGCTCCTAACATAATCAACCTATCAATGTGTGATTTCATCCCTAGGACGTGAGCACACACGGGTTTACCATCTTCATGTTTTATCGCCAATAGGGCCTTAGTGATATTCAACCTTTCAATTCTTTGGTCTTGTGGGTTTGGGAGAACAACTGGAGGAGGAAGAGGAAGTGAAACCAAAATAGTCCACCTAGATTCATCACTTTGATTGTGGAACAGCCTTTTTTCTTTCAACAGGAACACTTTTTCCTTGGGACTCGGGAAGACCACGGTTAGATTCAGACATCTACAAAACGGGAGAAAATCCAAGTTAATTGATGAGAATCCTTGATGTAACACCCAAATGAAACATCAGGGCTAGGATCCAACATAATATTCTTCAACCTAGAAGAGGGATGCCGTAATCTAGTTGCAGAATATTTGAAGGTAGGTAAATGATGATTTACCAATTTCCACCATGAAAAACGAAAAGAAATTAAGTTTTAAATGTATTAAAAACTCCTAGATCTTTTGAG